TGTATTGGGATTACCGAGAAGTCAAAGGGGTCATGATTCGATTTGAATAGTAGTCGACCAATCGACAAAGGTAGCGCATTTTCTGCCAGTACGAAAGAACTTCGCCTTGGAAAAGTATGCCGAGATTCACGTGCGACAAATAGTCCGTCTGCACGTAGTGCCAGCGACAATCACTTCAAACCGGGATCCTAAATTCATTGCCGCTTTTGGATAAGTTTTCGTATGGCATTAGGAACAAAGTTGCAAATTAGCTTGGCCTATCATCCTTAGACATATGGCCAGTCTGAAAGGACAATTCATACTTCAGAGGGCATGCTACGGGTATGCATATTGGATTTTAAAGGTAGCTGGAAGGAATAGTTGTTCTTGGTTGAGTTTGCCTATAACAATAGCTATCAGCAGAGTTTTAGAATGGCACCATTTAGGGCATTGTATGGCGGGGTTTGCGAATACCGGTTTATTGGGATGAAGTGGGTAAGAGGAGTATCACGGGTCCCAAGTTGGTTCGATAGTCGATTAAAACAGTCAAAGTGCGATGTGGGAAAGTGAAGAGTTGATGCGACACCAGTACCCCCCATTTGTTTGAATAGTTGGGTTGAATTGTAAATTTCGAGGACGAAATTTTTGTAAGGGGGGAAGAATTGTGACATTCCGGATTTTGGCCCATTTTTGGGGTTTATAAAACGTGTAATTCGTCAGTGCGCTTATAATAGAATTTCGCCCGAGAACTAATCACTCTTGGGTTCTTGTTTTTAAAAATAGAAATTTTGCTAGAATCGCACTCGATCGGATTTGGCCGTTATTTAGACCTCGAACTTGGCAGTCGATTTTCGGGAGTTTCAGGACGAAATAAATTGGACGGTGTCAATATTATCGTAGCCAGCGTTGAGATTGTCAGGAACAATGGAAAAATGGGAGTTTTTGACCGGGTGCGAATTTGGACTAGTAGACCCCCTCGCTATAGTTTGATTTAATTAATTCGGCCTTTGTCCCTTTTTATATGCGAGGCTTATTTTGGACCGGTAGATCGCTTTCGGTTTTGAATTTGGGTCATCGGATCGCATTTAATATTTGAATCGTGACCGTTAAATCGATATTTAGTTTGAACCGTGTCCGTTGATTCGCGCTCGAGGATAAATATTAACTTTTTTCTCTCTCTTTCTCTCTCCTCTCTCCTCTTGCCGCGCCGCCCGTCCCCTCCCCGCGCACGTCTCTCTCTCTCTCTCTCTCTCTCTCTCTCTTTCTTTTCCTTACGCCGCACGTCCCTCGGCCACGCCCATGCAGACCCACCCCCGACACACACTCTCTCTCTCTCTCTCTCTCTCTTTCTTTCCTTCTTTTCCTTTTCTTTCTTTTTCTTCTTCTTCTTCTTCTTCTCCTTCTTCCTTCGCCCGGGACCGGGTCCTGCTCGTGCGTCTGCTCGCCCGACCGAACGCCGCACGACCGCCCCTCCGCCTCTGCTAGACGCCGTCCCACCGACCACCACTGCTGCCGTCCTCCTCGCGCCGCCGTGTCGCCCGGGAACGCCGCCTCGACGCTGCCTCTTTCCCTCCCCGAGCGCGCGAGCTCGGCTCGTCACCGCGCTGTCGCGGCCGGCGATGCCCAGTCCCGGCTCGTCCGTTCCGTTCCGCCGCTTGTGACGTCGCCAGCCCGGCTCGGCCGCCGTCGCGCCGTCCGCGCCCGGCCGCCGGCCCAATCCGCCGCCGCCGCCGCCCGACCGGTATTCTCTCCCCCTCCTCCGCGCGAAGCCGCAGCTCGTCAAGCTGCGTCTCTTGCGGCCGAAACCCGCTAGCCGCCGGCCAGCTAACTCCGGCCAACTCCTCGCGCCGTCCCGACGCCCGAGCGTCCCACACCGCCGCCGAGCGCCCCCAACCGCACCACCCGCCTCGGCCAACTTCCTCTCCTTCCTTTAACTTTCCGCCGTTCGCCGCTGTTGCCGTCGTCGCCGCCGCCTGCCGGTTCGACCCGGCGTGCCCGTCGCCGCCACGAGGTCGCCGTGCCGCCCTGTCACCGCCGGTTCGCCCCTCTCCCTCGGTCCCGACCTCCTTCTCTCTTTTTCTCTCTCTCCTCACCCTCACCCAGTGACTTCTCCCCTTCACTCGCGGCCGCCGCCCCCAGCCGGCCGGCCCGGCCGGCCCAGGCCATAGCCGGCTCGTCGCCCACGCGACCAAGCCGCGCGCCCGTCGCCGTGCCCGTGCACATCGTGCCCGTTACTGCGCCCGTGCCCGTTCCGCGCCCGTGCCCGCGCTCGTGCCCATGCGTGTGCCCGTGGCCGAGCACCGTGGCCGAGCCCCGCGCCCGTCGCGCCCTTGCCCGCGCCGAGTGAGACACTGTTCACTCGGGCCATTTTAGGCCCGAGCCGACTTTTACCGAGCCAAACTTAGGTAAGTGACTTCCTAAACCCTACCTAGTATTTTGGGTACTTTATTGACTTGTCTCGGGTTTAGAACGGCTAGGGCGTGTTTTAATTTAATTATATTATGTTACAATTACGCTATTTAAATTAGATTAAATGATATGCTTGACTCGGGTAATGGTGTGTGGCCGACTTGAACGTCGGGTTTGTGGATTGAGGTGGCGAATGGTGAATTGGACTGAGTTGTGATTATGGGCTGTTTGATGCAATTGGCGTGAAATTGATTTAATTGATTGGCGTGTGCTTGCCTGTCGATTTTAAGCCCGGATCGATCGGAGGGCTACGGACTTGGGACGTGTTGACGGCGGTCCGTGTGAAGGCATGAATGGTCGATGTGCCAAATGGATGCGGGCTTGAGACGTGTTGACGGTGGCCCGTTAAAGGTGTGATTGGACCGGGACGTGTTTACGTCGGTCATGGGAATTGATTGAATAGTGTGGCTTGGGACGTGTTGACGGCGGCCACTGGAATTGATTGAATGATATGGCTTGGGACGTGTTGACGGCGGCCATTGGAATTGATCGAATTGTGAGGCTCGTGTGCCTGTGAGAATGAATTTGAGGCGCAGTGGCGCGAGTAGTGAGAAAGATGTTCGGACACGCATGTGATTTGAGTGTGATTGAATTGGCTGGTTGAGCGTGTGACTGAATTGGCTGGTTGAGCGTGTGACTGATTTGGCTGGTTAACCGTGTGACCCAATTGGTAGGTTGAGCGTGTGACCGGTTTGGCTGGTTGAGCGTGTGATTTAATTGACCAGTTGAACGTGTGGTTGCTTGGCTGGGCTGGTTGAATGCGAGTGAAATTGCGTGTGCCGAGTGACCGTGATATGATGATGAACTATTCTTGCATTATCTTGTTTGGACTGATATGCAGGGTTGGCTCGTGATTCGAGACGAGGTAAGCTGGTTGTATGAAATTGATTATGTTGTCTGGTGATCGTATGTTAGACTTGTCTGGGTACGCATTGGCCTACGTGGGGTATAGGGGGCTGCTTATTGATACTCGTTCTCACGGTTATTATATAACCATTTCAGATCCGCGACCGTAAGTGATGGGAGACGCTGCAAGGGTGTCTCGGAGATCAAGGACGGGTCGAGTGTCCCGTATTTTGAGTCTCCCCTTTTGTAGAGGAGTTAAGTTCGCGAACCATTGTCCCTTTTGATGAGCATTGTATGTATTTGCCAAGTGTAGGAATTACAGTTATTGTTTTGTGCTATTATTACCCCCTTGTCATTATTAATTGTCCGGGTTGTTTCTATTTGCTTCCGCGCGTGCCTAATCTCTGATGTTTGGGTTGGGTCGGCGACGCGTCCTGGGACGTCGCGTTCAATGATCGACCATCGCGGGATGATCGCGTGCTCGTAGGGTGCGGGGCGTGACAAGCCCATGTCCATAAAGGCATTGCTTGGGTCCCCGAGCTCAGTTCCTCAGCACTTAGGCTCGAGTCGACAAAGGCCGTGCACAGGTCCTCAACGCTTGGGCTAGAATCCTTAGTTAATGAAAGGTTTGTTCTTGTAAAAATATTTTTATTAAAAAAATCGAATTTTTTTTATTGTTCCTTTTCCTTTTCTTTTTCCTTCTTCCTCGAAGATCGGCCACAGGCAAGGGACGAGCTTGCCAAATTCCGGCAAGCTCGAGCCTCACTAGCCTCGGGGAAGCTTGACCTCACCGACCTCTGATTAGGCTCTAGCTCGCCGGAATCTAGCAAGCTTGAGCCTCCCCGACTTTGGGCGAGCTCGTCCCTCACCTGTGGTTGTCACCGTGGCAGGTGACCAGCTAAGGAAGAAGGAAAAAGAAAAAAAAGCTAAAATAAAGATAAAAAATAATAAAAGTTTTTGAATTTTTTTGTATTTTCCCTAGAAAAATAAAATCGGATTTTCCATACCAAACAGTGAAAAATATTTTCAAGTTTTTTTTTAGATTTCAGTCAAACACCGCAAAATATTATCATTTTGTTGAAAAATGACTTCTTGGAAAACATTTTCAAGAAATATCACATTTTCCATGAAACAAACGAAGCCTTAGCCAGACAACCTTTTCTATACTAAATTTTTTTGCCAAAATCCTTGTGAATAATAATTGACTTTCGAATCTAGTAACAAGTTCCTCATCTCTACCTCTCTTTATGTGTGCGTATATGTGCGCGCATGTGCGTGCCCTTGTTTCTCTATTATAAATAATTTGAATTGGAATTGAGAGGATGTTCGCATTTATATATGCTCGCTAAGTGGTATGATAATCTTCCACCATATACACTATTCAGTTTAATGTAAACTATAGACGTAATTTTATAGATATATCTACTTGAATTTGTTGATTTTGCAGCGACCTCTTTGCACCCTTGTACTTCTTTTATGAAAATAGTGTTTTTGTTGTTTAATTCGAAATTCATTGGCCTCAATTTCAAGAAGCTGAATGACAGTCACGATGACATCCAAGAAAACAAGACGAAATGTATTATACACAATTTTCATCATATATGTTACAATCATTTTTGTGGGAGTTGTCTCATTTGAGAGGAAAGTCAATCGATCTCCTCACAAATCATTACATGGACTTCTTCAAAGTTTGTTGACACCTAAATTTTTGCAACGTACTTCCCTATTCATTGCATAAGAAAATCATGGGTCGAACTCGATCAATGAGGACATCAAGGGCAAATATGGACTTTTCATATTGTGATTCCTTCAATTCACGATCAAGTGAGCAAATGCTAAATTAAAGAACAAGGCAAGAACATCAAGGGTATTAGCTGGCCAATTCTCTCTACCTATCAGATTAAGCTTTTGGGTTGAATTTTTTAACACCGTCATCGTGTCATAACAGCTCCTAAGCAAGTGATCTTAACAGAAGTCCCAATAGTTATGGCAGTTAACACAAGCGACATATGTCGTCGTTGGTTCATCCGCGCTCCTCCTCTGCATCTAGTAGTAAGTGCATTTTCTCTCACTGCATCGTCCACACTTGACTTGATCAGTTGTGGCTTTCGGTGCAGCTCCTAGCTCACATTTGGACAGAGCTTTCTCCTTTATCTGTTGATTTTGAAGTTGCCTCTCATCCCTAGCCATTTCTTCTGTGGTCATCTTTAGGAGCCTCTATGGCTTGACATGGCCGAGAAGAACTTTTCTCCTGAAATCCGGGTTGTTGGGATCCTTAATGTTGAACATTATGGACCTATACTTCATCTTGTGGGTGCCGTTCATACGACCCCAATTCTGGAACATCGTTGACTCAACTGAAACAGCGATCCTAGATGGGTCACATGCATTCACTTCTTCAATGATGTCGTTGCTTGCTTCACCAGAAACTCTGGACAAAGCCTCGAAGAGAAGTTCCCGTACCTTGTCCCTCATCGGGTCATTGCATTTAGTCACGGAAGCAGACAGCGGCGGAGCAAGATTAGGAGACAACTTGCTCACGGGACAATTTGGCTTCTCTTCGGTAACACCAAAATCCAACCTTGACATCTTCTCAAAACCGAGTACCATTTGGCTCAGTTCTCCTTATCTTTGCTTCAGACCGGAAAGAGGAGGATTTTTTTAACCTTATTCTCCCTGGCTTTTGCACACTCATTTTGAACCACGCTGCCATTCTTCTTGCATCCCTTTGATTCTTCCATACAATTTGTTTCCGTTGCTGAATCAAGTCGGATGCAAAAGCTTGCATCATCTTCCTAGGATGTTTTGTAAGGCGTCTAAGACTTTTCTCAATCTAAGAATTTCCAACCATGTATGAATGTAAAAGAGTGAGTGAGGCAAGTAAGCACAAAGGCAAAGTCACATGCATATTATAGCAGACATAGTAACTGCACATTAGGATATGATGAAGGACTCCTGCCGTCTGAATACTGATACGCAGGAGATAAAACTTCAGTAACTGGGTCATAGAAAGCCTTGATAATCTGCGTTTGCTAAACAGAAATGGGGAAAGCTTATTTTCTTACTGTTAAGGCATAATTTTTGTTTAATACATGCCAAATAACTTGAGCTGCGAAAAATAGCTGTTTGCATGCTGGGAACTCTCCGGCTTCGACATTACATTCTGCTGAAGTCAATGGCTGATATTGTTGCGACCTTAGATGTGTGAAAATAGCTTCCTCACTCAATCCTATGGAAGTATCTCCAATCTGTTTTTCGAGGTGGAGTAGTTCCTAATAAGAAAACATACGAGGGAAAGCTAAGTATTTCAAAATCACCTCTCCTTAACTAAATCATTTCTTAAGTATAGACAACGCTGCTCACTCAAAGGCCAAGTACAGTCGCAATTGCATCACCGTTGATGTTGATCAATGTGTACATCAATGGACATTTTGTTTGTTTTTTAGTTGTTTGAATGCAAAATACGTGATTACTCTTACAAATGTTGTTAAGGGGCTCGAGCATATATACACACACATATACACACATGCGAAGAGGAATTATAACAACATCACTATTTCAGACATGTCGACATTAGCATCAGAAATAAAACTCCAAAATCATGATTATGAAAAATTTCTAGTCTCGCATTACCTCATAAGACACGTCATCTATGTCGAGATGCATTATCATATATTCATCACCGCCATCATATGCATCTTCTGTTGCTTAACCTGGTAATTCTTGAATATTCTGCATCAATTTGCACTTGTTGAACTAAAAATAGCAACAAAAAAAAAACAAATAGATATAGGGCTTCTTTATTGCTCAAGTTGAAGGTGAATAGATTGAAAGAAATTATCTTCAACGATAATTGGTGCTGTAAGTCTATGCTACGCCTCAACAGTATAAATTTGCAAAATATTTTTGTATTTGCTAGCTAGTTAGAGTAGTAGTCCCTTAAAATCCCATCGAAAATTTCCAAACCCTAATTCTCTAGTGATAAAATCTTTTGGAAGGGGACCTTAAAGTTTTCAGAGGACCTAATTATCATATGTATAGTAGCATGCAAAAGGGAAATGAACGGGGAGAAAAGAAGTTGGCTTAGCCAACGAAGAGCGAAGATTGCGGGCAAGCACAAGAAACTCACATAGTTTCTCCTATGCGCTTCTTCTACGTATGAGGTCGGCTCTAGTAGTTTAAACCCTGATCGGGTTCCATCGGAGAACTCAACTGGGCTACATGGCTACAGATCGTTAACTCCCGCCAATCAATTTACATCTACGCAACTGGAATTCCTGGATGGGCAATCAGAAGGAAGAGGCAAGCTAGAGCTCGTCCCCCGATATTGTCTCTGCCGCTGTGGGCCGTTGTTCAAAGGAGATTGTATGCGGTATGTTTTGAAAATGTAATAGAATTAGATATTTATGTGTTGGCCATGTTCTGTGATATGCGTGGTCAGGTCTTATTTATACTACCAGACTTGAAACCTCAAGAAATCTTTGCATATTCTCAATTTGGTTCCTTAATTAATTATGGTAACCTCATTGGCAATTTTAGTCGATATACTTCCTTGAAAGTAGTATTTGAGATTAGAGCTTTAAATCGAGACAAATTCTTAGTACCAATTATATGATGCATTCCCATATCCCTTATGCTCTTCATGCATCGTATCAAACTTTTGATTATCATTTCTATACTGGATACAAAAGATATTTTACCTTATACTCTCTTCTGACCATTCTAGACAGGTCTACTTTGGAAACAACTTGCTCACATACGCATACACGTATCCACCGATACACCTCATAACATATCTTCGTGCATTCATTTTTCTAAATCAAGGCTAATTGGGTAAGTTTAAACTTGCTGTATTCTATACATTTACCAAATTATGAATAAATTTGTATGGTTATATATTAATTACTTGACTAATTGGGTAACAGTGCTGTGATATACTCATGGAAATGAATTATAACAATTTCACTAATTCAGACATGTCGATATTAGCATGAGATATAAAAGCTCGAAAATCACAATTATGAAATTTTTATTCTTACGTTACCTCATAAGACATGTCATTCGTGTCGAGATGCATTTCCATATGTTCATCACGGTTGTTATACTCATCTTCCATGCTTGAAGTTAAACTGGTAATTCCAGACAATTCGCCATCAATTTGAACTTGTTAGACTAGACACAGCGTCTTATTCATTTTTCTATTAAAAGTGAATAGATTAAAATAAATCAGTTTCTACTACAATCATAATGTATGCTTTTTATGAATGTCGTTTCGCTCTTATTACATGCTTTTCTATAACACCAATATCAGTAAAGTTTCAAGTAAATACCTCCGAGTTGAACTTTTTTTAGGTGGAAGTTTAAAATACATGCAAGCAATACGAATCTCCGGTGAGACACAATAAGAGGTCATTACCATTATGGCATTACTAGATTGTGGTTAATCGTTGTCAAAAAGAAATTTTCCATTAAAGGTACATAAGACATCACCTTTTTCTCCTTGACACGAATTTTCCTATACACGATGATATTCTTAAAAAGGTCCATGTAATTACATATGATAAAAATATATATTGATAATTAAAGTTGATATCCAATATAGAAATGAGAATCGAAAGTTTAATATGATACGATAGTCTTTTGGCATCGAGCTGATGAGGTATATGGGAATGCATCACATAATTAGTAGTAAAAATCCGTCACTATTGAAAGCTCTCTATCTCAATGCTCCTTTTCAGGAAGTATATCGGCATATTCCCATTGAGATTACCATAGTTTATTAACGAACCAAATTGAGAATATGAAAAAACTTGTTGAGTTTTCAAGTCTAGTACTATAAATACGATGTCGCAGTTCCTACGATGGAACATGATAAACACGTAAAAGACTAAACAGACTAAACCTCCCTCCTCTAAGAATGCGAGTGCAATGAATCGGTCATGCCACCGTCATGTCCTTACACTAATAGCTCCTAAGCAAGTGATCTTAACAGAACTTCCAATAGTTATTGCAGTTAACACAAGTGACATATGTCGTCATTGGTTCATCGGCGCTCCTTGTCTGCATCTGGTAGTAAGTGCATTTTCTCTCGCCGCATCGGCCGCACTTGAATTGATCGGTTGTGGCTTTTGGTGCAGCTCCAAGCTCACACTTGGACAAAGCTTTCTCCTTTATCTGTTGATTTTGAAGTTGCCTCTCATCGCTAGCCATTTCTTCCGTGGTCATCTTTAGGAGCCTCTCCGGCTTGACATGCCCGAGAAGAACTTTTTTCCTGAAATCCGGGTTCTTGGGATCCTTAATGTTGAACATTAGGGACCTGTACTTCATCTTGTGGGTGCCGTTCATTCGACCCCAATTTTGGAACATGGTTGACTCAACTGAAACAGCGATGCTAGATGGGTCACATGCATTCACTTCATCAATAATGTCTTCGCTGGCTTCAGCAGAAACTCTGGACAAAGCCTCGAAGAGAAGTTCCCGTACCCTGTCCCTCATCGGGTTGTTGCATTTGGTCACCGAAGCAGACAGCAGCTGAGCAGAACTGGGAGACAACTTGTTCGCGTGACCATTTGGCTTCTCTTCAGAAACACCAACATCCGACCTTGACAACTTCTCAGAACCAGGAGTACCATTTGGCTCGGTTTTCCTTTTCTTCGATTCAGACTGGAAAGCGGAGGGTTTTTTAACCTTACCCTCCCTGGCTTTTGCACACTCATTATGGTCCACACTACCATTCTTCTTGCATCCCTTTGATTCTTCCACAACAATTTGTTTCCACAGCTGAATCAAGTCGTATGCAAAAGCTTGTATCTTCTTCCTAGGATGTTTTGTAAGGCGTCTAAGACCTTTCCCAACCTAAGAATTTCCAACCATGTAAGAATAAAAAAGAGTGAGCGAGGCTAGTAAGCACAAACGCAAAAGCACATGCATATTATAGCAGACATATTAACTGCACATTAGGATAAGATAAAGGGCTGCTGCCATTGTGAATACTGATATGCAGGTGATAGAACTTCAGTAGCTGGATCATAGAAAGCCTTGGGAATCTATGTTTGCTAAACAGAGTGGGTGAAAGCTTATTTTCTTTCTGTTAAGGCCTAATTTTTGTTTAATACATGCCAAATAACTCTTCCAATGTAACTAGTGGTATGAAAAATAGCTGTTCGCGTGCTAGAAACTCTCCAGAGACCTAAAATCATGACTAGTGATATCAGTTATGCATAACAACATATGAAAAAATGAAAAGATCCAATTATGAATAATGAATTTGTGGACAAAAAAATTAACCCATTGAAAGAAAGAATTATTACTTCGGATTTGTTTCTTTACATGACATAGAAATATAAGGCCTCTGGTTGCCCTTTTTTACAAGATGAAATGTGAGGTCTCAACAACCTGTTAGAAATTCTATCTAACGGAATCGTTATGCTAACGATAACCTTGCCTACAATACATTGCATCTACGAGCTTTAAATACTCAAGCAGCAAGCACATCTCAAGCTACATAGTACTCGTAAAAAGAAATTAATTTTACAGAAAAGAAAGCTATTCCTTGTTCACCACATTCTACATAAACTAACGTCGAACACAGAACAGCATACAACATTGAATCTCCTTTTCTTATTCTTGAACTAGAAAGCACAATTGAAGAAAATTCACTCTCTCACAGGTCCTACTCAGCTGATAACAAAACCGTGATCATTACAAAACCCTGATCCTACACACCTGAGTGGAGACAAGGACTTGAGTCGTGACAGGGAAAGACTTGAGGCGCTGCAAGGCATCGATGCATCGCCCTTCGTCATCGTCCCCTCCACCGTTCCCATTCACAGCCGCCATGTCTGCAGCTTTGCTCGCCAATTGAAACACCTCCACCAACTCTGCCTCCATCTCTCTCTCTATCTGCAAGCTTCAGCTTCAAGAACGTTAACACATTGCATAAATCAGTTCCTCCACATCCAAAACTACCTCAAAAGCAGAAAAAAGAAAAGAACCATTTTTTTCCAAACAAAACTGCCAAACTGTGTCTAAGATTAAGCAAACAAAATCATTCTGCCGAGGGAGAAAAAGATCAGGTAGACTGAGATGTCAAAACCTGGCAAAAATTCAATTCCTACCTGAACTATTGGAGTGGCTAAGTTGGAATTAATTGCTTTAGTTAGTCTAATAATTTGTATGGTTTTCACATTATACAATTATTTAGGTTCATTTCAATTAACTATTACATCACTGCTATTGGCAGGCTATAACAAAACCCATTGTTTATATGAATCAATAACTCGAAAATGATTCGTGACTCACGTAAAATGCATGTTTTTCCTAATTGAACCACCGTACTAGTTATATTAAGCTTCTTATATCAAGGATCTTTTCCTTAATCAAGTTTGCGCATGATTAAAGAGTCATGAATTTAGATTATGCGGTCAGAAGATGAATTAACTGCATTTTTCTACTATTGATTATCATGCCAAAAATGTCCTTCAAGATCTATATTATGGATTTAAAATGACGAAGCTTAATTGTAAAATCAAATGAAATTGTTCGAATAAGTATTGAAGCAAAAACAGCTCAAGATCTTCGTTAAAGCTTATAAACAAATAAAATACCGCATAGAAAAGAAATGCGAATATACGCACTTGATCTATCGACGATACAGGAAGCACCAGCCAGAAGTAAACTTTGTTCAGAATCAACCTACAAAAAATGGTCATTCATAAAAAAATGATAAATACATGTACACACTAACTTATATAATAAAGGGTAATCAAATAATCGTAGAGTTATTAGAGAGCATAATAAAAGATGCATCCAAATTTATCTAATATGCATACTTATCCTTATATTTATCGAGAATGAAAACGAACCATGGTCACATCATTGCAATGATTGCATGAAATAAATACCAGAAATTGAACTTATATAATATATATGATTGTCTCAACTATCCAATGTAAAATTGAATTTAGAACATCCAAATAATTTAATTACAAGTGAGATATTTCACGCCCTCCAAGATACAACGATCTATTAGATCGAGCCCTTAGGCATCGCGATGCAATCATTTACACATGAAATCGATACCTCAAATACAATTTTTTGTGAAAATTAGTAAAATACAAAAAAAAAAGAACAAAACTGATGCAAGGAAAAAGAGAGAGCAAGAGATGGAACAATAAACAACAAATATAGATCATTGCAAATATCAATACCCTAATGAAAATATAGATAAAAGAATCGAAATAAAAAATCACTTGAAGAAATATGCTTGATCTATCAAACACATTTGAGATTCGAACGATCGAAGTACTATACATAACACTCAAATTCTTCTTCACATTTGATATAAAAAACCAAAAAGCACCAGTTGAAAAAATACCTATATCATCTGACACTCGAAAAAGGGATATGACGGGGAAAAAGGAACAAGAGAGCACATCAAAATTTTGATATAATAAACATAGATTAAGCCAAAGGCATGAGATGTTACCGAAATGAAGACAAACTTGAAGAGGACAAGTCTGCAGTGCAGAACTGTCTCTATTTATTTTTTCCCTGCTCATGCCTAAACGAGTAAATTCAAACTTACCGTATTGGAGGAATTTCTCATATTTGACATCTCTTTTTAGTTACTAAGAAACCCTAATTCCAATTGTACTTTTGTATTCGGATTTAATTCATTGACTAGCCTCATTTTGTTGAATTCAAATTATTTTCTTGGTCCACTGTTTTCCCTCTCCCATAATATCTAAAACGTTTTGATCTCAGTAGATGTTAATTTTTCCATAGATCTTCTAATGTCCGTTCCTTGTAAACAGAAACTATTTTGTTATCCCGCATTGATATTGGGAAGCCTGGGAATAACGAGATTTTTAAGTTAAAAATGTACTTGTCAGCGTATAGGTAAGTGATATATCTAAGTTCGTTAGCTCAATTTCTTCAAAATTCAAATGATTAATCTTCTTAGATACGGATTGACCGTACACTAGTTACCGTTATATATCCTTAATTTATTGTCTATTTAATTATATATTTTTTCTTGTTGGCAGACAGTTAACGGTTCTTTTATATTTTTAGTTTGAATTTGTTCGTTATTGCTAAGTATATGAAGCCGATATTGTGTCATCAATGACATAAGATATCATGCCGTTTATAGTGATAAATCCAAATGTCAACTTAGACACAAAAAACTAGTAATTCAACTATGATTAGATATCACGTACTAAATGAAGATGTAACTCTCCTACATTTAGCCAAAGAATAAGAAAAGCTTTCGGAAATACAATGACTGTCGATGGTTCATTTGAAGATGCTAATTTGTCCTCATCAATTTTGTTGAAGAAAATCCGACAAAACAAATTTGTTGAAGGAAAGAAAAGTATGTGATTTACGATACCAAAGATATTTTCGTGGGAAATACAAAAGATATTTTAGCATATACTCTCTTTTGCTCATTCTAGATTGGTCTACTTTGGGAACAACTTGCTCACACACACCTTCACACGTATCCAGCAATGCACCTCCTAACATCTCTTCGTGCATTCCTTTTTCTACATCAAGGCCAATTGGGGGAAGTTTAAACTTGCTGTATTCTATATACTTACCAAATTATCTATAAACTTATCTGATTATTAATTGTTTGACTAATTTAGTGCTATCCCAATCTGGTCACTTTCCTACATAAAGATCAATTGGGTAAGTTTAAACTTGCTGTATCCCATATACTTACCAAGTTATCTATAAACTTATCTGATTATTTATTGTTTGACTAATTAGGTGCTCGACCAATCTGGTAATTAACTATTTTTACAGGTATATACTTACTGTATCCTATCTACTTACCAAGTTTAAACTTGATGTATCCTATATACTTACCAAGTATATACTTACCTATATACAGGCAACGCCTGCCCTAGCCAAATTTGGGCGAGAGTCGCCTCGCCCGCGACCAGTGCGGCAGTAAGGGCTAGCCTCATCTGAACTGGATTTTATGTAAAAATCGGGTCATTCCGCTAATTCCGTCTAATTTGATTAACTGAAAATGCTGATGTGATTTTTTTTAATATTTTATCTCTCCCATGTGGCGTCCTACGTGGCATTAAGGTTAACTAAATCACTAAAATGACGTCGTTTTGATATGAATCCTAATTTTACACGAAATCTTAATTAAATTAGGTTAAAATATCCAAAAAAATTTCCATAAAAAAGACAACCTCAAAAAAGAAAAAAGGCTAAAACTAAAAAAAAACACAAAAAATAAAAAATCTAGGCCCCCCACTTGTGGCTACTGCCCCATCACCGATGATGCGTCAGCAATGGCCAGTGGGGTCGTTGGTGGCTTGGCGAGGGCCGGTGACCCCGCGGGGCATTGCTGACACAACACCAACGATAGGGTGGCAGCTACCCTCTCACCTATAATATTTTTCTTTTTAAAAAAAAATTAGCTTTCTTAATTTTTAATCTAATTTAACTAAAATTTAGGTTAAAAATGTCTTTAGACAAAAATGCCCTTAATTGGCCAAAATATTAAGTAGGCTGGTGAGGTCAGGCCCTTATTTGAAACTGTCTTGATCACTTTAGGGTATTTTTTTAAACAAGATCTATTTTGGGCCCTTATTTGAGAAAATGAGAACACTTCGGACTTTATTTGGAATTTTTCATTTTAATGGGTGCGGTCTATTATCCGCCTGTAACTCATGTTAATCAAAAGGGATCTCATTGAACTGATGAATTGTAATTTGTGCTTGCTTTTTTGCTCAGGAAGGACTGAAATTGGTGTTGGGACTTCAACGGGCATCTATTCAAGAAATTACCTGGAGTATGTCTCACAATGAAGCGCGTTAAAGCTTCGATGATGGAATATAAAATAAAGAATAACATTTAATAATAGTAGTTATGTAATTATTTGGCTGCATTTGATTAAATAGGATAAACTAGTCTCTAGTAAATAGATAAATGGATTTTTTTTAACATGTTTATTGTTAGTTATTCACCATATATTTGAAAGGACCAAACTGCAGTTTACTCAATTGACTTGATTTCGTAAACCGCTCAACCCCATGCATTTTCACAATTTCCATTTTTATTGAGAAATTTCTTTCTCATTAACCGAATATATATTTTCTGAAAAAATAAGAAGACGAAAGTAAAACAATATGGGTGACGGGGTTGCGTAGAGTGGAGATGGTCATAGTAGTCCTGCTCTTGTCTTACGTGTGTGATTTGCAAAAAATTCCTAGAGAAAAAAACATAGCTATTTCAAAAAAAAAAATGAAGGCCGTATTTTTTAAATGGTTAGTTTTTCTTTTCAATATGCTATTTTTCATGTTTAAGTTGAGGGACGGTTTTAATTTTTGAACACAAAAATGACCGAAAGCTTTCCAAAAAGTACATGGGCGGTTTTTAACCGAAAAAAAAAAATCGGAGTTGAGGGACGGTATTAATTTTTTAACTAAAGTACATGGACCAATTCTGACATTTCACCTTCACAATATATGTCATTGCATCCGATAATATGTCCTATCTCTTACTAATTCTGTTCCCAATCATAATCTGAGCTTCTTGGCGATACCCATGGTTTGCTTCAATCGGGCTATCTGTTTAGTTTGTCTCAACAACAAAATATTGTGGACCATTGGTTCTTAACCATATGCTTATCACTTTAGTCCTATAAGAGATGATAAGAGGAAGAAGAAGAAGATGATGGTCGTGGTGATGGTCGTGGTGGGGGGTGGTGGCCGCGGTGGTGATAGTTAGGCGCAGAGAGAGAGTCGACATTGAATAAAAAATTCCGAGTCAACAAATCTCTAACCGCGTTAAGCCCCATTAGCAAATTTCTAATAGCGCTATCACCACGACTGTAAATTTCATCACCGAATCGATCGGAGATGACA